GCCCACAGTTATCTTTCAACATAAGGAAGACTGGATTTTTATGTGATCTGTTTTAAATCTGGGATCATTCAGGTCACCTATTCTGAATAGGTGAAGCAGTTTTATTTAAAAACAACAACACCAAATACCCCCTTGCCCAAACTTCCTCAAATTTAGCACAGAGGAAAAGCAGATTGTGTGCTGCAAATGTGCCAAGTTTGGTATTGATATGAAGCCCAGTTTCAGGGTTGGAATTCTTTGTTTAGGCTACCCCCATTTTTAGAACTCTCTTGCCGAATGTAGATTTGCTGCTTCACCATATCATAACTGCACTATAATCCATCATGACTATAATCCATCCAGCTACATGCCAACAAAAAGGGATGCCATTAGTTAACATATTGCAATAGGAAAATCCAGACAATGTCACTTCAGAATAGGAATCCAATTAACTCCCCAACCACAGCACATTGCTATGAATATATAAAAGCCTGAGCAACAGAAGATCGCTCCTTTATTAACAACTCCATCTCTGCAACTGAGCCTAGAAATAGAAAGCATGTCTTTGAGCATTCCAAACAATCTAATTTTTCGAAGCACTCTTAGATATTTCATGCCAAACATCTGAACACATGCACAATACCTTCATCTCCCAATGCACTATGGCAAACCATAAAGTTCCTTGACAATATTCAATCATACTGTGATAATATTGTGCACCATAAACAAGACACAAAGATATGCAATGTACACTAAAATATATATACCACTGTAGTGCTGCAAACACTTACTAGATTTGACAACACACTGGAGAAACCAACAGCAAACACACCATATCACATACTGTTAATGAGGCCAAACATTCACAATGTTTTCTTCATCACAGAATCTTAGCCAGGGCACTCAGCACCTGTTCCAGTGCAGCAAAGAATCCAGTTGAGGCATGCTGACTCGAAAAGATACCCAACCAATGGTAACTTCTCTGAACTACCTCATCAGTACCCAGTCACAGATTATACCTGATGTTTCTCATTACCCCTTCAAAGTCTCTATCTTAATAACAACCAGTCAGCTCTCCAATATTAACAAAGGCAACAGTCACATTATGCCTGACTTTGTCCAAGTTCACCAAAAGAGTCACTGAGGGAGGACCCAAGGGTTCAGTCTCCTCTTAACTCTCTCTTCGCCACTCCTATAAGCCAAGCAGAGTTTCTGCTACTCTGCCTGACTGGGGATTGAGAACAGAGGAGACTAAATATAAATACAAAGGCCTACTAGGAAATAAGTAGAGGGTAGTGGCAGCACAGATAGATGAAATGAGTTGCAGGAAAAAAGGGGCATCCCAAAACAGAAGTGATTCAAACAATGTCCTGAATAAAGTACAGATCTGCATGTCAATCCCATTAGCAGGCTCACTACACTTGTTGTCTACACCTGAGAAGGAGGAGTGTCATCCTGTGTAAGCCTATGGTCACCATGTTAAATCTGACCTAACAGGAGCCTTACATTTGCCCTCTCCATGGGCAAACGTGTGAGGCATTAGGAGTTCAATCTGAAAACACATCTGTATACTGTATGTGTCACAGCTTCCATTGTACCACTACTACGACACAGATTACTTCCTTCTATTCCTGGATAACATGGAGGCACCAGCTCTCAATATCAGGATTGGAAGGGAGTGACAAGAATTATTGAAGATAGTGGACAAAATCCTATGAGTTATGTTCATCTGTCCATTAGACAGTGAATTTCTACCCTGTAAAGAAATTAGCATATGCATTTGTTGTTGCACATCAAGGCATGCATCTTGGCATGCCACAGCAAAAGTCTGTGATGATTTCCCAACTTGTGGCAATTTACTACCAGGAATTACACTTACTGGCTAATGCCACCTTTTGTTTTATTAAATAAAACAAAAATCAAACACCATTTTATAGCCAGTGGATTGAAGGGGTACATATAGAAATGTCATTAGTGGAGCCAGAGGTTGGGAGTTTGACCTCCATGGCAAAGGAGTGAATTCAATGATCCACTGTTTCTCTTCCACCTCTGCAGCTCTAAAATGGTGATTATTATAAAACTGCTACAGAAGTTAAGTTTGTTTGTGAAGAATCTGTTTGATATTTAAATAATATTAATATCCACAAAATCTTCACTATGCCATAAATATAAAGGAAATATTTGAAGATAACTTCAGCATTTTCTAGAAATAATTTTCAATATCACTGTCTCAAGAAACTGGTTGTCACACAGCAACAAGATTCTGTTAAATGAATGTTGAAATCATTAACAATAAAGAATGTGTTTTTATTCAAAAATGTAGAATATTTGCTCTAAGCCAATGCGAGACTTGTTTTCAAGACATTCTGACTATATTATCTTCCATTAAAAATTATCTCTCCTACTTCAAAGGATCAAATTTGAAGCATTCGCATGAAAAAGCTGTGATAATCTTACCACAATGTGGGAAAATACACAAATCTTAAACAGCTTAGAACAATGTAGTCTGAAAAATCCCAAGATATTTCACAAAATGTCTAGTTTGCAAAGTTACTCATAGAACAGCATGAAAATGCAAACTTTTTACAGATACAAGGCATCAAAGTATTGCTTTTAAAAACAAGAGCTGCTTTTTAACAAACATACAAGGATTTGCTTTTTGAATAATTAAGCAGAACAAAATTATGCCCCAAGGCCAAACTACACACAACAGCAACAGATCTGTGCTTTAAAGAACTGCTATAGTTACATGCAAAGCAGGAGTGATGCAAAAGACACACGGAGAGAAGAGGTACTGAATTCCTATCCTCACTTTTTTCTTCCTAGCTGGAGATAAGGGAGTTCAGCACTCACATGCCCATACACCTCTTGCAGTTTAAAGCCATGCACTCCAAGCTTTACATACAATTGGAACAAACCAGCATTTAAAAGGCTTAAGTCTGTTCCTGTATTGGTTTCATATTAACCAATAGTTCTATGGTTTTATAATAAGTAATAAGTTTAGGTATTTCAAAAATTTATAAATTCATAATTTACTTTCAAGGAAGTATTAAAGATTTAGGACACAATCCAAAAACCCCAATTAAAAATAGAAATACATTTCTTTATAGATACCTAACTGATGAATAACCAGACTGATTTAATTACTCAATTTTATTTCTATTTAAAGCATCTATTTAAAACATTGCTGCCCATGACATCTCAGTGGGTTTATGCATAAGATTCTGGCCCTTTAATGTAAAACATCTGTTATGGACAGAATTTCAAGGAGAAAAAAAAATCTGGAAAACCACTTTCCAAAATCTAAGATTAGTAGCAAAATTTATGCATAAACTTAAAACCACAATACCCCCCCGACTTTGATAGCATCCTTTAAATTCAATTAGGAACAGGCAAATTATCCTACAAAGGCCAACCAAATCAGCTAGTCATCTTAAACATTCAAAACATCTCACTTGATGCAGATCTGTTCTATTTCTTTTGGTATCAATACAAATGTTTTTGTGAATCAATGCAAACACAATTCAGCAAACCTGGGCTCTACAGATAAACTATACAATACTATATTTAAGACTTCTGATAGGAAAAGACTATGAAGAATTACTGTATTGTGCAATTGTTGGAGGGAGAGGAATCCCTCTTACAAACATGGTTCTACTACCCAGAAACAGTAAAGCAACATTCTCCTTACCAGAAAACAAACATGCTAAAAGTTACAAGGCTCAGTCTTCAATAGAAATGCTTTTTTCCTGTGTGAGTTAAATTCAAGGTTAGTCTGCTCTTTGAGAACCCTGAAAACCAGCAGACTAACTTTCTAGTAAGCCAGCACATTCTTGACACCTGAAGCAGACAGCTTGAAAACACCTTGCATAACATGGGAAGAAGGTGAAGAGAGAAAGGGGGGGGGGAATTCACACAAAACAACCCCTGAAGCAGCTTTATAATTCTTGACAAACTGGAAGTGTTGACTAAAGGACATGCCAGACTTTTCTTTTTAAGCTGCATGTCTCAATGAGCAACCTGTTCTATGCTAGGAGAGCACATAGCTGCCAAATACGTTTGCTTTAAAAATTCATGACATTGTGTCTACATGGAAGTACTTTCCTGAAGTTTGAATACCACACCTTAAGTGCTATCAAAATCCAATATTCACAGAGCAAAATTGCACCTTTCAGAAAGACACACAAATTGTATGCAAACTACCACTTATGGTTCAACAGTACAGAAAGCTTGTAAACTGAAGTAAAACCTTCAACTGACTGCAGCATTACATATTCATAACTGACCATTTTAGGCTTCTAATGTTTTCCTGTTAATACGGTAAGATCACTTCAAATACTCAGGGGAATGCTCACGGCACTTTGCAACTAAAAAGTTTTCATCTCACAGAACCATTTTCTGTAAAAAAAAAAAACTTTTTCCTACATCATACTATACAATAGTACTGTACTCAGAAAGTCCTTACCTGCTGCAAACAGCAAAAGCTCAGTGGCTAATATCCAAATAAAAAAAATCACAGTAGGGCCAGTGAATCAGCAGGGATTTGCCGAGTCAATTGCTCCATAATTTCCACTGATTCAATGGGCCCACTCTAGTTGTGACTTATTACTGGAATTTAGCCAATGTGTATATCCTTTAAGTTTTCATAAAGGAATGCCCTCTTCACTCGCCTGTCTTCAGACTGGGGTTGTTTCTGAGTCATTGCTCATTCCCTCCAGGAAATTCATTTTTACACTCTTATTGTGTAATAGTATATCTACATGACTCTTTAGACTGCAAATTTTCTCTTTCTATATAATTTCCACTTCGCTCACATACTACCAGAAATCAACTGCTGTATATTACTGCAGTTAGTAATAATTAATATAGGCACATCAAGTTTCTTTAGGTTTAACAGCTCATAGGCCATCCACTGTACATTGATGAATCTTTGTGTCTCATGCAAACTGAGAGGGGAAACAGAAAAAAAACACCTACTTGTTCAGTTACATTTGAAAATGATATATTAAAAAAATACTCACAGTCTCTCCAGCTCTTTCAGGTCCTGGAATGCTCCTCTCTCAATTGTACTAATCTTGTTTTCCATGAGTTGACTGAAACGCAGAATAAGTGTTTTAAAGTAATCAAACAAAGCTAGTAATTAAACAATGATTAGCACCTATTACTACTGCATTTCAGTAATGGGGAAATTTGCAATTGCCTCTTCTTTATTAACTCTGCAATTCCCATTCAGTGTGTTTAAGAACCATCACCTTACATTACTCTGTGACTTACGCCCATGGAAAAGAAATACTATACTTTCCACTCTGAAAGAAAGATTTTAAACCTACTCATGAACCTGAAGGATCAAAGGTGAAGAAAATATATGCCTTCCTCAAGGGAAGAGGCAATGCTACGGATTAATAGGAGAATGCAGAAAACAAGTATAACACAATGTTTAAAATGTTTACTTATATAGTTACCATAAATATATTTCACAAACAAGGATCAAGTGCTATTTTATGCCTGAAAGATTCAATGCAACAAATAAGAACAATTTGTTACTGTTCACTTTCGGGAGGATGGCTCACAATATTCCAACTGGTTACAATTATCTCTTGATTTACAGTTTCCCTTTACTACTTGATTTCAAGGTTTGCTGATAAAGCAGCAGTTATCACTATATAGCTGTCTTAAGAGTCTCATGACTGAAAAATGGAAAGCCTACACACAGAGAAAATTACTTATAAACTTAAAAAAACCAGACTTTCATCCAATAGAACAATTTTAACATTTAAATCAGTGTTACTCTAATTTCATTGTAAAAGTCAAGTTACATCCATAATTTCTGAATCTACTTATTTACCAAACTAATTTTGAATTTTAAGAATTCTAGCATTTCTGAGCCATTTAAACATTCAAATGTATTATTCTAATAACTTTTTAAAAAATACAAGAAAAAATCTATTTTGTTACTATTGCCTATTTTTCGAAGTACATATATTTTGCTCTACTTACAGATTCAAGGATAAGCATAAAATCACAATACAGAATTGCTGCTGTTGCATTTTTTCCAAATTTTATGTCATATCCGAACTGCTTTTTCTCATACAGTGTGTTTACTGTTTTAGAGTTTAAGTATAGAATTAGCTCTGTTCATTTAAGAAATTATTCTGTACATATAAAAAGTAACAAATAAAACTGTAGAAAAGAAACAAACAACTTACAGAACTCGAAGATGCCGCAGACCAGCAAAATCAGTCTTCGTGATCCTTGTGATATTATTTCCATTAAGATCCCTTTGAAGAACATGCCAGCATTAAAATGAGAAGTGATCATTAATAGATGTACAGGTTTTTTTAAAAAAATAAAAAGCAAAATATTTTAATACTTCTGAGAATTAATACACAAGCATTGCTTCATACAAAATCTTGTATGTTTTCCTAAAAACAAATTTATATTACTTAACTATAAATTAAATTACGTAAAGTTCACTTGTTCATTTTAAAAATATAATTTACTGAAAATACTGAAAACAGTGATGCTACAAGATGCTACAGTTGCAAAATAAGACTTCTTTGCAATAGCAGAAATTATTAGTAACAATTCTACAACCTTTTGATATGGTTGGCTTCTATTTTGGATGAATGTCTGTGTGTACCAGACATGAAGCCAAGACATGTTTACTTAGTGACATTTAGAAGTCAGTTCTGAAAACTAGAGAGAAAAGGGGAGGATTTCTTGGCCCAGTTCTCAAGCCATGTGCCCAGAGACCATGGCTACAGCAAACTATGTGGACTATGAGCTTTTCCCTCTTTGCAGAGTCCACAGGAGGAAAGCAGGCAAGAGTCCTGGCATCAGGAGGTCAAATGAATGGGGAAACAGGGAGTAAAGAGACAGTAAACATCTTTGACAGCTTTCCCAAGGCCCAAGATTTCTCTCAAAGGCATCATCAATTTTGCAGCATTCCTAAAGAAAGAAAAATAGCTGTAGTTACATAGCTAAATGTTCTCAAACAAACATTTGGGGGATTTAACATGATATGATTTAAGCTCTGAACTGTTTCAAAATAACATCTTCAAATTAAAAAATAAATTCTTCATTTCACCTTGTAAGCTTTCTTATGACTATAACATGTAAACTATATAGATAATAGGAAAGAATTGGATTTCATTTGGATTTCAAATCAGAATTTCAATTCACCCCCTTTTGATCACTACCCTGTTTCCCCGAAAATAAGACCTAACGGGAAAATAAGTCATAGTATGATTTTTCAGGATGCTTCTAATAAAAGTCCTACTCCAAAAATAAGCCCTAGTTAAGTGAAACCCCACACTCCATCATAGCAAGCAGAAGATGACATGACTGTATTTGAATAAATATAGATTGTTTTACATGAAAAAAATATCCCCTGAAAATAAGCCCTACTGTGTTTCTGGAGCAAACATTAATAAAAGACCCTCTCATTTTCGGGGAAACACGGTATTGCTTTACTAATATATTAGCAAGGGTTCAGCTAAAATTTATGTTATTGTTAACAGCGGAGTAAATATTAAGAACAATATAGAAAGACCTTAAAGAAATAATTGATCACCCTGTGAGCTTAGTTACAGGAAACAGCTTTACATGGAAACCTGATCTTAAGATCATGTATATTATTTGAGGAGGAGATGGTAGAAGTAAGCACATTCCACTGCAGAAAAGCAGCAGGAATCTTGTGTGATCTGGACAAACTTCCCCATATTCAAAATACCCAGTCACTCTGGGTATTTACAAACCTAACTTTTTCCATGCCTCTTTCCTAGAGGTTTTCTCCCCAAACTGCTTACATAAAAAACAATAAAGTCATGTTTTGAAAACCACTCTCAAATGTGTGACCACTCAGGAAATATCCTAACTAGCTCTTAATTTATTAGCATGGAAGTGGGTAACAGGTACTCCTTCACAACATTTTGACTGAGTTTCGAATAATACACTTCACACTGTCAAACCAAAAGGTAACCAATTTTTAGCTAAGAAAGAGATCACAAGTCTATGGCTTAAATAGGTAACAAGTGCCTCATATTTGTCTAAAAATATGAGTGTTTCACCCCCAAATCATTTGGAAGTCCAATGTCAAGTCATCAGTCAACTTTTATATACAACAAACAAATTTTGTTGGTGGAAGAATTGCGAATTATTTATATGCAAAGCAGCACTTGAAAAAGCAATTTTACTATATTCCTGCTATAGGGAAATTCTCCACCTATATGACTTAAATACCACCTTGCACAAGTACTGCAGATTTTAACCCTGTCCATGCCATGCTTTTGTAAAGGGGAAAACACTTAAATGAACTAGGTAGAATGTATTGACTGCTATGCCTGGAACTGGAGCAGTTCCAAGCTGAGACTGCCTGTAACTCTTTCCAATTTAACAGCCCCTGAAGACCTCCTGAAGGGGCTTCTACAAGCTGTTTCTTTCAGACAGCTTCACCAGGACCAGAAAGATGTCTTTCGGTGTGTGGAGAGGTACACAGAGCAAAGCAAGGAAAGGGCCATTTTTTATTCAGAGCTCTTCCTGACCCAAATTACCAAACTGCAATTACTCTGCTTACTACTGGGCAAGGCAGGCAGTAAAGCAAAGGAACTAACCCTTTGATTCTTTCATGTCTCCTCCTACTACTGCTTCTATAACCAGTAATGAGAAGTGTGTATGGGAAACTGGGGGAGAGAGAAAACAAGTTGTAAGTTGGAACTACAGATCAATAATTTAAAAACTGGAACAACTGCTGGGCTGTGCTTTGTGTTCACTGAACTGTATACTGAAACAAGGAACAACCTCTATCAGTCTATAGTTTTCCTTTAAAAGAGATATCAGTATGAGATATGTATGCAGGCCTGCTTGTGGGCTTAAGAGAACAGAGAAAGTGATAATGAAATCTGATTACACCAAGCCAATTTTAAAAAGAAACCCAAATCCCTTCAAATCCTAAACAGTGTCTCCTCACCAACACCAAGTATAAAACTGGGCATCTGAAACAGATGTTTGCTGTAGGGAGACCTTTAAGAACAGCACGAATGCTTAAAACAGAAGTATTAAGTATATATTAAGCTGCAGAACCTTGGGCTTTAGAAAGATATAATTCTATTAAGACTTCCAAACCTATTGCTCCCAAAAGCTTCTGCATGGCACAAATGTAAGCAAGAAAATGCCATCGTGGGTTAAAACGACAGGGGTGCCCTTTCAAGCCTTTTGGGGAGGGGGGAGAGAAAGGCGGAAATGAGAGGAGCAGCGCCAAAAGGAACTGGACAAGGGCTCTTGGCACTCTCGTTTTAGGGTGGGTGGGGGATACCTTCCAATCCCTAGAAATGGCAACAGAGTGCTTGACATGTTCCCTAGAAGAGGAAAGGGATGGTTCACCGGCTGTTCCAACCTGAGAGAAGAGAAGGAATCGGGAAGGAGACTTACAGCCTCTCGGTGTTGCGTGGAATGTTCCTCGGGACACTCCGCAGCGCCAGCCCATGACAGTCCACGGTGCTACCCGAACAGGAGCACTGACCCGGGCACGGCTGCGGCGCCGCCTCCCTGAGATGGAGCAGCAGAACCAGCCCCACCAGGCTGAGCCGAGCCAGCGCGACCAGCAGCTTCATCGTTTCCTCTCTGCCGCCACGGGGTCCCCCAAAGCAGCCACCGATCTCGGTTTCTTTAAAAGAAGGCCCCCAAACCGTGGAGAACTTCACCCTCCCGACAGAAGGGAAAGCAGAAGAGACGAGAAACCCCTCCTCCTCTTCCAAGGTCTCAGAAGTCCCAAGCAGAATCTAAATCCCCGATCGAAGCGAAAGGAAGCTGATGTCACACCCGATCCACAAGCGAAGTCGGCTTGGCAGCAGTCTTTCCGAGGGCAGGGCGGAGATGCCAATCCCAAGGGTCCTAGGCTGGACACCCCCTTCCAAGGTAAAGCCGAATCACTGTGAAGTCAGCTGCCAGACGGGCGGATCGACAAGCCCAGCCCTGCGCGCTTCAGTGCCTGCTGGTCTGTCTTCTCCTCTCGCCGGGTCTCCTGCACAACATGCTGGAATCCCGTCCCCGCCGGGCTAGACGCAACAGCAAGAACAGCAGCAGCAGCCGCCGTCGCCGCCACCAGCCCCGCGCTGCGCCCCTTTCAAAACCTCGCTTTCGCCGCCGCCGCCGCCGCCTGCACGAAACTGCATTGCGACCGCCGATGTCCGCCTATCACAGAAGCCGCGACTGCATGCCTGCCTGCCTGCCTGCCTGCCTGCTCGCTCGGTCGCTCCCTCGCCGAGAGAGGAAAGCCTGGCGCGGTCAGGAGCAAGAGCTCCGCACGCCGCCTTCTTGCCCTCAAGCCCAACGGACTTTGTGATACGGGGAAGGGAAGGATGGACTCCGATGGAGGTTAAATTGCATGCATGTGGGAGGAGGAAAAACACACACACACACACACACTAAAGTGCCTTCTCCCCCTCCCACCCCCGTTTCTGTTCTAAACTCCCGCAGACACGACTTAGAGGTGGAAAGGTTTGCCCTCCCGCCTCATATTAACTAAACAACGCTAATCAGCGGTACACCTTGGGAGGCGCAGGGAGGGCTTTCCTCAGGCAGGCTCCGCAGTCTCCGCTGCGCGGGCGAATTCTCGCTTCCGAGCCCGATCCTGCGCAGGTAATCACAACACAGAACAAATCCCCCAGAGCAGCTCCCTCCTCGCGCCGCTAATGAACCAAATGGGAGGGGAAAGGGGCGGGCACGAGCCTCCCTGCCTCGCTCTAGTCTGCGGGCGACGGGATCGCGGCGGCGGCGGCGGGCGACACCTGAGAGGAGAAGAAGAAGAAGAAGAGAGCGAGAGCAAAGGCGAGGGAGGGGAGGCTGAGGGCAGGCTCTTCGCCGTTTTTAGTGGGCTTCAGGCAGGCTTCCTCGGAAGTAAAACCAAAAGGACTCTCTTACGCTCTCCCTTGCAATTCCTCAAGGAGCACACCTGAATGGTTCTGATGGCAAGGAAAGACCGCCTCGGCTTTCCTCGATGCCGGGGCCCCGCTCCCGACTGCCGGGCTATACACAGCGGTGCCTGTGGGTAGCTCCGCGGAAGCAGCACGAGGGAGCCGCTAGTGAAGAAATGTGCCTGAAAAGCGGGAGCGCAAGAAGGTCTCGGATTAACTAAGTGGGTTACGCACCCCTTTGCGAGCAATTGTAGATTACAACGACCTGGCTGCAAGTCAGCAAGAAACTATGTTTCTCCTGAGGGGGTGTTGTTTTCTGAAACCCTCCACGTGAGAAAGCGCGGCGGTTCCAGACGTACCCCAGCCCCCCGCCTGCCAACTCTCGCGAGTATTTCCCTCCGCCCGCGGCAACTTCCCGCTCTCCTTTGGCACCCTTATATAGCTGTCGTCGAACCGAGTCGTTCCAAGCCACTCCCCGACGGCCCGGAGGCTTCTTGCTGATTGGTTGCTTATTTGAAGAGATTGGGAAGGAAAGGGAGAAAAGAGGGAGGCTGACTAACGAGGTACATATATAGAAGGTGGGGAGAAGGAACAGCACTGCAAACTCGAGTACAGTATAAGGGCCGGTTCTTCAGCTGTGAAGTGGACATGGGATTGTCACCAAATCGGCCTGGGGAGAGAAAACAAATTCTGCACGGGCAACGAATCGTGCTGTTCCCCCGCGCCTCCGTAATCGCATGTATTTATTTTGACTTCTTTGCAGAAAGTAAAGATTCAGGCAATCGATCATAGAATAATGAAGTTGGAAGGGGCCTATAAGCCTGTCGAAGCCAACCCCCCCCCCCGTTCAATACAGGAATACAAATCAAAATTCATACGACTTTTTATAAAATGTGTAGTGATGGTTTAAGTACTCCTTGATCCTGAATATTTTTTTCTGCTTAAGACACTCCAAAATGATAACTACTTTTTTCAATAAATCATTTTAAGGCAACAGTATATAAAGCTCTTTGTTTTATCATATCTTGATACTTTTTCTAATTAAGGCAGCCAAGCATCCTACTGAAGTAGGATAATGTAACAGGATACTCCCCAACTTCTAGACAGATAGATAGATTTGACAGGTTTGGTTTCTTTATTTTAACCTCACACTTTTGAGAGGCCAGCCTCTGGACCAAATTGAAGAATAGCACCATTACACACCTTAGCCTTGCTGAGAATCAAGTTAGTTAATCTGATCAGTGGAAAACCCAGTACAGTACTGTAGTTTCTGGTGAAGGAGTTTGAGCAAGAGGCCTGTGGATACCTTAGCAAACTAACTTGCTGCTAAACTCCACCTGACCTTGGCCAACAGCAGCAGTCAGTACCAGGTCAGGCTATATAATATGAAAATATCTGTATATGATAGTACCCATCACAATAAGTTATAACACTGAAATATAAATGTTATTTGTTATCAGGTTACTGAGTTGTAAGTAAGTAACAGCAACCTCAAAAGATTTTTTTTTAAAAATGGTTGGCAGAAGAAATATTAGAGGTGATGGGGAAAAGGTGAAAATGGGGAAATAAAGATGAAGTTAATTACATATTGTGCAAGAGATCCAAAACAAAATTAGAAATGTCAGAGAAACGTTGGTGACCTGAACAATATACAGCTGTTTGAAAATTACATAGCAACAGTATTTGATTGCTTAGCCTCCAGTCCACTTTTCTGTGATAATTTGTTGGTGCCACTTGTGTTTTTTTTTAAATGCTCTTGCCACGTTACTGCTATTTGTGTTGTATTTTAGAGTTTTGTTGTGAATCTCTCTTTTAATCCTTTGTAAACTACCCAGAATACTGCTTTGGCATTAATGGGTCAGTCAGTCAGTAAACAAGTCAGATGTTCATACTCAAATAGACATCCAGAATGCAGTAAGGCAAACAAAAAATGTCAGTGCTCCTGACTCATTGATGTTTTCACAGAAGTATTAATGCTAGCGGAAGACTCGGAGTGAATCCAACCAAACATGGGCTAGAACCCATTGGAGGGCCTATTTCATGGCAGTAGTGGCAGTGAAGAAATCATTCTTCTCTGCCACCTTTGCATCATCTGCACAGAGTTGATCAGCAGTGCTCTTTCATGTTGTCAATTGCCTGTTACATCATGACCCACAAGAAGATAGCACTGGCCTCACTGTAGCTCACTGTGAAAAAATGGGACAGCAATTTGCAGGCAAAATCGCTCAGATTCGCTCTGACTTGGATGTTGTAGTTCAGGGGTCAGGGAACTTTTTACCTTTTACCCCCCCCCCCAAAATTTTTTTATATACACTGACATTACCCCCTTGATTCGAAAGGAAGGAAATCATACATTATTTGAATTAAAAATATTATTGAATCTACACAGGCTGTGTACCGAACTAGCAGGATGCACCAAATTTGATAAAGATGTGCACTATTTTTGCTGAAACACATTTCACTCCAGCCATGGTGTTGGTATAGGGAGTAGTAAGGTGTCCAACGTGCTTAGCAAGTTGCATTAAATTTTTGCTAGCTCGCAGAGGATTTAATCAGCATCAGTGGCTGCCAGAGTGGTGCTAGCAATGACAAGCTTGCTAGAGACAGCCAACGCAGAATTGGGGGGGGGGCTTTCCCTACCACTTTAATCATTCTATGTGTGGTGTGCAAAAAGGAACAAACCAGGCTAAAGGTCATTTCACCCACCCTTGTGCCACAGCCCAATATCAAAGGACCAGTGTGCTTTTTTTATCACCATCAATGAAAAACACAGCAGTGGCCAGAGGATTGGAAAAGATCAGTCTACATCCCAATCCCAAAGAAGGCTGATAACAGAAAAGAATTGTAATTCCCTTAGCCATCTATCCTTTGCAGATTCTTCCAGGACTGTATTCAGTGCTGTACTCTTTCAGAAAGCAAAGTGTTTGCCCTTTAATCTGATTGCTAATAGTTTGTCAAATCTATATTGAGCTGTGACATTCTGATTTGCCTGTGCTGTACTCTTCAGCTCATCTCAACATGTAGTAGGCTAGACTGAGCTATTGGTGTGCTGCGATTCATAATCAATATATGATAAACTTGCAAGGAGATGAGAGAGAGCATACTCAGTCTCCAGTGGGAAGTGAGTCGGAGAGCATATATATGTAGTTGAAATAAAGGAGAGCCTTTTAGACTATTAAAAAAATCATCCAGCCTACAAAAGCCTTGTGTATTGCATGACAATTTTTAGTGGTCTGTAAGAGTATAGCCTATTCTTGCATTTGTGGGGTTATTCCAGGAGAAACAAGATGGATTGTGCAAGTATCCATCATTGTGGGTAGCAAATCTCTCTCTCTCTCTGTGTGTGTCTGTCTCCCTCTCTCTCTCTCTCCCTCCCCCCCTCTCTCTCTCTCTCTCTCTCTCTCTCTCTCACACACACACACACACACACACACACACACACACACACACATACATCCATCCACCCTTCCTCCCTCCCTTTTTCCATACATTTTCTACATGCATTTAAATAAGCTGGATGAAGCCCTCGGTCTCTTGCACCTTCCTTCCCTTGTTAACTTGATCCTTTCCTGCCTCCTGCTTGCTTGCAGTCATTTCGAGAGGAATCAGTCATTCAGAAGCCCCAGATTGATTAATTGCCCAGGGCTAATACACAGCTCTAATCAATCAAGCTGGCTTATCTCCAATCTCTGAAAGAACGGAGGATTTACAAGTGCCCTGCTGCAATCAAGGCAGTAACAGGGAGAGGTGGCTTACAATTTGAGGTTTGACTGCAGGAGGAGGGGGTGGGAGAGAGGGAGTGGGGGTAGCACTCTGCTCATTACCCCCAGGATTTTCACTTTTATCCCGTTTGGGGTAATTTACCCCTGTTTCCCGACCACTTCTGTAGTTAATATAGGTCCTGTAGATGTAACTATAGCACCGGCTTGTCCTGTGTTGATGAATAAGTTTCAGTTTCTGAAGCGTAATGATGTGGACAGGACCTTTGGAGAGGTGAAGGCTACAGCTTGTCTGGTGGATCGTTGCACTTCCTGGTTTATAAAAGCTGCTGGAGAGGGACTGGCTGAGTGGGTCTAAGAGGTAGTGAGTGCCCCCTTGCAGCAGGGTAGGATCCCAGCATGCTTAAAGGAGGCAGTAGTAAGACTATTCTTGAAAAAGCCCTCCTTGGACCCCATAGTACTGGATAATTATTGTGCAGTCTCAAATATCCCATTCTTGGGCAAGGTGCTGGAGCAGGTTGTGTTTTCTCAGCTCCAGGGGTTCCTGGATGAGATGGATTATCTATGTATCCATTTCAATCTGGCTTCAGACCTGGTTATGGGGCAGAGACTGCTTTGGTCACCTTGGTGAATGACCTACGGCAGAAACTGGACAGGTGGAGTGTGTCCCTGTTTTTTCTGCTGGACTTTTCAGCAGTTTTCAATAGCACAAACCAGTGATGGCGAACCTATGGCACGTGTGCTACAGCTGGCACGCAGAACCCTTTCTGCTGACACGCGAGCCATAAGTCACTGGATCTCTACTCCCCCCACAGCCAAACCTCAGGAGGCGGCTGCAGCTGCAATGCTGGCACGGCAAGCCAGGATCTGGAGCAGCTGGCACTGGTGACAGATCCAGAGTGGGGTCTCGAGGCACACCCAACTCTACCTCTCTATTCCATCTAAATCCCAGGAAGCTATTTCGGTTGTAAATCAGTGTCTAGTGTCAATAATGGACTGGATGACAACAAATAAACTGAAACTTAAACCAGACAAGACAAAGGTGCTCCTGGTCAGTCGAAAAGCTTATCAAGGAATAGGGTTGCAGCCTGTGCTGGATGGTGTTATATTTCCTCTGAAAGCATAGGTCCAGTTCAAGGTGTTCCTGGATTCATCTCTCAGCCTAGATACCCAGGTTTTATTGCTGGCCAGGAGCCCCTTTGCACAGCTAAAACTAGTGCACCAGCTGAGCCCATTTCTTGAAATGTCTGATCTAGCCATGGTGACATATACTCTATTTACATCTTGGCTGGATTACTGTAACACACTCTAAATGGGACTCTAGAGGGTCCAAAATGCTGCAGACAGATTGCTAACTAGGACTCGTTACAGGGAACATATAACTCCCCTGTTACACAGGGGACTGGCTACCAATCCATTTATGGGCACATTTCAGAATGCTGATTCTAACTTATAAAGCCCCAAATGGTTTTGGTCTAAGCTATCTAAAACACCACATCTCCTTCTATGAGTCTGCCTGGGCATTAAGATCGTCGGGGAAGCCTTTATCTCAATCCCACTACTCTCACAGGTATGCTTGGTGGGGACATGGGAGAGGGCCTTCTGTCTTTCTGCTCCCAGGGTCTGGAACCCCCTTCCATGGGAAGCTAGGCTAGCCCCATCATTAGTAACCTTCTGCTAGCAGGCAAATGCCTTTCTCTTTAGGCAAGCTTTTCCTTAATGGGTGGTTTGAGAGGGATTTTAAATGGACTGTTGTGCTCTGTTGTCTTAAATGTGTTAATATTGATTTTATTTACTGTTTTTAATACAATAATCATTTAATTCTTTTGTAATATTTGTATATTAACTGTTTTTAGCTTTTGAATATTGTCTTTTTAATGATGTGAGCTGCCTTGGGTGCCTTTTGGGGAGAAAGGCTGGATAGAAATATTTTAAATAAACCAATTAAAAATTACAACTTAGATGTACTAGTAAATGTTTTTGATTGGCTCTGCTGAATAGTATCATTCCTAAAATTTTGCTAAGATTGAGATTTATTAGCTTTATTATATTACTCAAAAAGAAAAATACCAGATTTTCCAGCAATTACAGAATAAGCTTTATGTCCT